CTCTTGCCATTGATACCTTATTTGGATACGATATTTGCCGTAGTGTGACGCTAAAGGCATTGTAAAATACCATCGTTTCGCCTATTCCTTCATAATGGGCCCGCTCAATTTTTTGAGCGCTCAATTTTTTGAGCTTTTCCCCCTTGTGCGTGGGACTGAACTGTCCCGTCGGTTACCGCGCCAGCCCCAGGTGCGAGCTGTTACAGCTACTGCCGACCCAACTGTCCCGTCGGTTACCGCGCCAGCCCCAGGTGGGAGCTGTTACAGCTACTGCCGACCCAACTGTCCCGTCGGTTACCGCGCCAGCCCCAGGTGCGAGCTGTTACAGCTACTGCCGACCCAACTGTCCCGTCGGTTACCGCGCCAGCCCCAGGTGCGAGCTGTTACAGCTACTGCCGACCCAACTGTCCCGTCGGTTACCGCGCCAGCCCCAGGTGCGAGCTGTTACAGCTACTGCCGACCCAACTGTCCCGTCGGTTACCGCGCCAGTCCCAGGTGGGAGCTGTTACAGCTACTGCCGACCCAACTGTCCCGTCGGTTACCGCGCCAGTCCCAGGTAGGAGCTGTTATAGCTACTGCCGACCCAACTGTCCCGTCGGTTACCGCGCCAGCCCCAGGTGGGAGCTGTTACAGCTACTGCCGACCCAACTGTCCCGTCGGTTACCGCGCCAGCCCCAGGTGGGAGCTGTTACAGCTACTGCCGACCCAACTGTCCCGTCGGTTACCGCGCCAGTCCCAGGTAGGAGCTGTTATAGCTACTGCCGACCCAACTGTCCCGTCGGTTACCGCGCGAGTCCCAGGTGGGAGCTGTTATAGCTACTGCCGACCCAACTGTCCCGTCGGTTACCGCGCGAGCCCCAGGTGGGAGAGCTGCTCAGCCGGCCATCCAGGCTCTTGGAACAATTTAACATTGAATCTGCTCCTTGTTTACAATGCTCGTCTTCAAATATGACATGGCCTGAAGCTTTTTTTTCACAGCAAACCACGCCCTTAGCCGGCGCTCTCTATTGGCATCTGAGGCTCCATGCAGGTTTTTTAGGGTCCCGTACCGATACCAAGTAGCGCATCCTCGGGCCTTTGCCGGCTTCTGTGGGTCTCATGCCGAGGGCCCGCCTGTGTAACCATGTTCATTGTTCATTACTACCCCATCCTCTACCTCTCCCTGTAGGGGGGCGTGGGGCAAAGCGGCCACCCGGGGCAAAGCGGCCACCCATCGTTTTAGCCCTCCACAACTGGCGTCAGCTCCAATTTATGCTTTCCATTAATGCTTCTCTTCGCGGTCGTTCGAATGAGCCAGACCGGGGTTTCAGGCCCATCGCCATTGTTCTGTGAAATACGGAAAAGTATTCCTTGCCAGGTTACCAACTATTTTTACAATTTTTAAATGTTATTTTATTCCATGACCGTTTGGAATTTTGATAAGCATTCTTGTCCATGCATTGCTTGATTATCGTACATGCCTTCTACCAATTCTAATGTTGTTTACCCACTGATAGCTGAGCTGGAATATTATTGTCTCGGACGGTATGCGCGGGGCTAAGTGGCCGGGGCAAAGTGGCCAGCCCCCAATTGGCCATAAGTTGTTTCCATCTGGATAAGAAACATCATTTATATTCAAATGTGTCGTCATGCACTCATCATGGCCACTTTTCGGTTACATGAGTTACCAACAGGGGCGGCGCCACCGGGGGCAGGGGGGCAAACATATCTTTTTGGCACTCCTGTAATACTGAAGGAAGGCCCTTTTGCTTAAAATCATAGGCCCCTTTTTATCTGTGACTTTGCCACCCCAGACATAGGGTCTGTTCCAGTCGCACTTCCTAACGCCTCTAAACTCCTCCAAGAGCAAGATAGAGGAGGTTGGAGCAGGGCCCTCCTTGGCTTTGTAGGGGCTAGAGCTGCCACTGGAACAGGGAAGCAATCTTGGAGGAGTTTAGAGGTGTTAGGAAGTGCGGCTGGAACAGACCCATAGCCTCGAGCGAGACGCACCAGCTCCTTTACAAATGGAGGGCCGTAATTCATATAGAAGGTTCCTTGTCAGAATTGGAGGTCCCATGTACAAAAAGGAGGGCCCCTAGACAAATAAGAGGCCCCTCGACAAATAGGAGGTCATCTGTACAAATAGTACACCCTTTGGACGATTAGGAGGCCCCTGTACAAATAAGAGGCCCTCTGGACAAACAAGAGGCCCCCTGGGCAAACAGGAGGCCCCCTGGGCAACTAAGAGGCCCCTGGACAAGTAAGAGGTCCCTGGACAAAAAGGAGGCGCGCTAGACAAATACGAGGTCCCCTGGACAAAGAGGAGGCCCCTAGACAAATAAAAGGCCCCTGCACAGTGCCCACATAGGAGGCCCCTAGGCCATTGCACAAATAGGAAGACCTTTGTAGAAAAAGTTGGCCCTCTGTACCAATAGGAGGTCCCTGACAAAAAGCAGGCCCCCTAGACAAATAGTAGGCCCCTGGACAATAAGCAGGCCTCTTGCACTTTGGAGGCACCCTGGGCAAATAGGAGGTCCTCTGTGAATATGGGAGCTTCCCTTTACCAAAAAAAGAAGTCCCTGGACAAGTAGAAGGCCCTTGAACAGAAAGGAGGCCTTCTGTACAGACAGCAGGCCCCCTAGACAAACAGCAGATCTCCTTCTCCGTTTCCTTCGATGGCAGCTGCTTCAATCTCACCACTAGCGTCACTCCAGTGATCCAGGTCGTCTAATGACGTCTCCTCTTCGCCGTTACTCGGTTGTTCCGCCATCTGAACATTGACCACCACTGCATTTCCCGAGTTTTGGGCATCATTGAACTTGTTGGTTCGACGTCGACTCTTCGATCGGGTTCTAGAGCTGACATTTTCTGCACTTGTAGACATTGTTTCTTAGTCACTTAGTTAACCCTCGCCGGCCGAGGGGGGGGGGGGGGCGGTTGCCGTCCCCCGTAGGGTTTTTTTTTCGCGATAGCTCCGAACACGCTGGCGATAGAGAGCTGAAACTTGGCATACCTGACCTTTGATTCAAACCGGATCTTTTGACACCAACGTCCAACCGCATTTTTGGTTCAGATCAGGTCACTGACCTATGACGTCATAAGTGAACCTCTGCACGGTCTTCAGATGTCGCAACTTCGCAACGCCCTCACTGCCAGAGGAGATGTCACAGGGAAATGAAACTTGCAGGATCTAGTATCCATTATGAGACTCACAACTTGTATATCTCGGATTTTTCCTAAAGGTCATATGAGGTCAGGTCATTTTCGTGACCTCACCATTATAAGTCAATGGGGAAAAATGAAAACTGTTTTTCTGGCGCCGGGAACGATCTATAATAACTATCTCAAGCACACAGAATCGTGATTTGATGCACTCCTTGCAAGGTTAGATGCGTCACTTTTGCAATGTTGACTTTGCGTGACGTCATTTATGACGTCATCAAGGTCATATTAGTTTTTCGTCAATAACTCTTGATCAAACTGAGCTAGTGAATCGGGAAAGCCACCAATGGACTCATGAAGACCTGCCGAAGCGAATGATATGCGACATGACCTCTTTCGACCAACTTCGTGACCTGGGGGTGCTGACCTGACCTTGACCTGAGGTCAACACCCTAAGTTGACCTGACCCGAACAAAAAGTATATCATTCGACGCGCCTGAGCGAGGCGAACACGATGCTGCCAAAATCGCGGCTCTGCGGTCGTTTTTTGCGAAGTTATTCACCAAAAATTGAACCGTACCTAGGGGCACTTGACCTGACCTCAGAGGTCACCGGTTGACCTAGGACCTTAAAATCGGGTACCAATCTCTGCGTCTCGTAACGGCGCACACGCTCGTTTTTTCCGCGACGCGCTACCTCCACCAGGGGCGAAACGGCGAGGGGGGGTCGTACCCCCCCTCGGCCGGCGCGTAGGTATGTAGAAAACCAATAGGTCCGGCGATGGTTAAGTCAGTTACTGGGAATGATTAGCTACTACGTTACTTTACGCTACTGACCTACTTTTGTCTATCGGTGGTTTAAAGCTCCCAGACTTACGTTATTTTTTTATCCCACTTTTGACACCAATTGTCACGAAAAACAGATTAGCATTTATTGCTTTCACATGGAAGAGTCATAGCAGCAAGATAACCAGTAACCACACATAAACTAGTACGTAGCTGGTTCGCTTTGGGTTCGCTCCCAAATCCCCCTTTTTTCCGCCGCGTCGATTTACATTTAATAAATTATGCGGCCGTCGCGAGAGAAAATCCCGCAGCACCTTTCGCGGCGGATATTTGCAACAATACTTTGCCGCTCCCGGCCAGGATGGGCGTAGCCCATAGATATGTCAATCGGATAACAACTTTTTGGTATACCGATACCAAACCGATACCAACTTTGTATTTGGTATTTGAATCGTAATGTGTTTGGTATTTTGTTGGTATCATGAACCCTCACTCATGTATAAGAGGCTAAGAAATCGGTAAAAAAAGTTAGTATTTCCCTCATTTTCCCAAGTCGGTTTGGTTTCGGTATTTCTTCGTGGGTTTGGCTGGTGTTTGGTTTGGTATCGGTATTCCGATTTTCCGTAATTGACATCACTAGACTAGCCCAGAAGAGAACAGTGATTCGGTTCATAGTGCTCTCACAGTTTCTCCCCACTTAAAATGTTAGACGAGGCCGTGCTATTCAACATTCATTACCGTATGCCCAAATCAGCATCTAGCAGTGGACGCGGGATTTCTTGACTGATATCTGACCCGCTCTGTCTCTAACCGCTCTGTCTGACCCGCTCTGTCTTATGTCTGACCGCTCTGTCTCTAACCGCTCTAACCGCTCTGTCTCTAACCGCCCGGCCCGCTCTGGTCTCTGACTGATGTCGGACCCCCGCTCTGTCTGATGTCTGACCCGCTCCGTCTGACCCGCTCTATATGACCAGCTTTGTCTCTAACCGCTCTGTCTGACCCGCTCTGTCTGATGTCTGACCCGCTCTGTCTGACCAGCTCTGTTCTCTAACTGATGTCTGACCCGCCTCCCAGCGGCACCTGTAACGACATTGACGAGTGCGCCGAGGGCACTGCCGACTGTGGCCGTGGTCAGGCCTGTCGGAATCAGCCGGGCGCTTTTAGCTGCGTGACAAACACCACTTGTCCGGAAGGGTTCGAGTACTCGAAAGACGGCGCCGACTGTCGGGGTGAGTGTCACCGCTGTCAATATCAGTATCAGTGTCAGTGTCACTGCTGTCAGTGTCACTACTGTCAATATCAGTATCAGTGTCAGTGCCACCGCTGTCAGTGTCTGTGTCACCGCTGTCAGTGTCACTGCTGTCAATATCAGTATCAGTGTCAGTGCCACCGCTGTCAGTGTCACTGCTGTCAATATCAGTATCAGTGTCAGTGCCACCGCTGTCAGTGTCACTGCTGTCAATATCAGTATCAGTGTCAGTGCCACCGCTGTCAGTGTCACTGCTGTCAATATCAGTGTCAGTGTCAGTGTCACCGCTGTCAGTGTCAGTGTCACCGCTGTCAGTGTCAGTGTTACGGCTGTCAGTGTCACTGCTGTCAATATCAGTCAGTCTCAGTGTCAGTGCCAGTGCCACCGCTGTCAGTGTCACTGCTGTCAATATCAGTATCAGTGTCAGTGTCACCGCTGTCAGTGTCACTGCTGTCAATATCAGTATCAGTGTCAGTGTCACCGCTGGGGCATTCCACGATAGATCGTACCACTTTTTTCCAATTTGACACCCTCATCTCTCGGAATTTGACGAGAATTGGTCTCAGGGGTAATCAGGGGCTCTGAATCCACCTGTAACAATTTCAGGCTTATCAGATAAGTATTTTTTGAGTTATGGTGTATAACATTTTTTGGATCTTGCTTTGCAGCGCTAAGTTTGGCGGGCTGTAACTCTAAGACGGATTATTTAAATGCCAAATGTCATATAACATTGAACTTGCAATGAAACAGAGATTAACACGCGCAGTGGAAGGGTTGCGAGTACTACGCCCAGTGGAAGGGGGGGGGGGCGGATGTCGCCCCCCCCCTAAGATCTCAGCTCCCACTGGAGCTAGAAAAACGAAATTTGGAGGGTAGGTGAGGGCCATGGGGAACTCTGTTGTGTGTGAATTTCATGACCCTAGGTCAATATCTTCAAGGTCAAATGAGGTCAAATGTGGTCAAATCTGCCATATTTGAGACTTTTTTGCGTTTACACGCCGATAACTCAAAAAGTTACCGGCCGATTTTCTTTTTTCTTTCACTATACGAAAGATCAAACATTTGTGAGTATGTATGGTGAATTTCTAGTTAATCCAACAATAAATATGGCAGTTAAAAGCCTGGTAAGGGTAAGATGTCGCCGGCTGAAGCGGGATCGGCCGACGCGGGAAACGCGGCATTCACAATTTTGTGTTTACACACTCATAACTCAAGTTGTTACCGGCCGATTTTCAAAATTCTTTGACCATATGATTGCCTGTACATTTCTCAGTCTTCTCACCAAATTTGACGCGAATCTAATGTAATCAGCGGTAAGGAGCGCGATGTAAAGACGGAACCGTCCCGCCCCGGCACAGTCTACAATTCAGGCGGCGCGTAACGGCTAGCGCCGGCCGCCGCGCCGCCGCGCCGCCGCCGCGGCAGGATGTTTGACTTTACACCGCTATTACTAGAAAAGTTGTGAACCGATTTTCTTATTTCTGGCACGGTAAGATCCGCAATTCAATTCTGGACAGGTAGCCAAAACTTCACATTAATATTATGTTTGCAGCGCGAGTTATTGGCGAAAAACAGGAGGGGTGGGCGAAATCCGCCCCCCCCCCCCTTCCACTGCGCGTGTTAATATGTATTTTTGAAAATTTCGAAAAATACGCTATTTTGATATATGACATATCGAGTTTTCTTTCATTTGTATTTTTTGGACTTTGGGACCAAATTTTTTTGAATTTTTATTTCTTTAAAAAAATATTTGGCTCATTGTTAAGAAGTATGCAAAAAATTAGGAAGGTGTTCTTTCTATAAATGTATTTATTTTACGTCATGATAACGGTTTCGAATAGTGATTTCGGGAGGGGAGCTTACAAATGGCGTGGTAAAGCTGCCTAGTGACATCACGGGTTACTGAAATTTCAATTCAAGTCTGAGTCATCTGAAAAAAGTGAAAAGAGGGTTCATTCAACCCTCTTTCCTGTAAGCGCGAGGGTGAAAAAGGCTGTTTGGTTCTGACATTGTTTTGGACGCCAATGACCATAGCTGTCCGAGATGAAAGTTACAGGACGCATACATGGTGTCCTCCAGAGGTCTCACAACTTGTATATCTGGGAATTTTTCAAGGTTACATGAGGCCAGGTCGGTCACGTGACATCACTGTTATAAATCAATGGGGAAATATAAAAACTGTTATTTTGGCGCCGAGAATGATCTAAAACTATCCCACGTACATGGTATCGTGATTTCATGCACTCCTTGCAAAGTCCAATGCTTTACTTTTGCATTGTAAACCTTGCGTGACGTCATTTATGACGTCACTAGGGTCGTACGAGTTTTTCGTCAATAACTCCCGATCAAATCGAGCTAGAGAGTCGGGAAAGCCACCAATGGACTCGGGAAGACCTTCCGAATCGAATGATATGCCATATGATACCCTTTACCCAGCTTCGTGACCTGAGGGGCTCTGACCTGACCTTGACCCGAGGTCAACTACTTAAGTTGACCTCACCCTAGCAAAAAGTATACCATTCGATGCACCTGAGCTAGGCGAACACAATGATGCCAAAATCGCGGCTCTGCGGCCATTTTTTGCGAAGTTATTTACTAAAAACCGAACCCGTAACTTCAGTCACGTGACCTGACCTCAGACTCTACCGGTTAACCTGAGACCTTAAAATCGGGTACCAATCGCTGCGACTTGTAACGGCACACACGCTCGTTTTTTCCGCGAGGCTCTAGCTCTATTAGAAGCGAAACGGCGTGCTGGGGTCGTATCAACCCCTCCGAAACCCATTTTGTTTGCGGGAAAATGAGGAACTTATAGAAAGAACACCTTTCTAATTTTTTGCATGTCGATTTGCAATGACATGAAGATTATTTCGAAAAAATAAAAATGTGAAAAATTTTGGTCCCAAAAGTCATTAGAGGCAAATGAAAAAAGATTAAGGTTTTTGCTCAACAATGAAATTTTTTCTTTGGAATTTTTAAATAGTAATATTAATTTTTGATTCATTGCAAGCTTAGTGTTGTTTACTTTTTGTTGGTTGCTTAACCTGTTCTTGAGTTATAGGCCATCAAACTCACCGTTACATACCGAAGTTAAAAAAATGTAATGCCATATAACTCAAAAAGTTTTGTTCTGAGAAGTCTGATATTTTGCCAGGCGTCTTTGGGGCCTATGATTACCCCTAGGACCGATTTTCATTAAAATCTGAGAGATGAGGGTGACGGGCCTGGTACGATCTATCGTGGAATGCCCCCGCTGTCAGTGTCACTGCTGTCAATATCAGTATCAGTGTCAGTGCCACCGCTGTCAGTGTCAGTGTGACGGGTGCACTTTGCAATCAGTGTAATCTGACCCGTGAGGGGCTGCTCTGACCCGTATGGGCTGCTCTGGCTCGCTGCCGACAGATGTTGATGAGTGCGTGGCGGGGACCGACGGTTGTGACCCGCGCTCGACAACCTGCTCCAACACTGAGGGCGGCTTCCTCTGCGTGCCGCTGCCGGCCAGCCGCTGCCAGCCTGGCTACAGGTTCAATGACATCCTACAGCAGTGTGCTGGTATGTTCTCGGCGGCGCACCGTCACCCACGGGTCGGGGACCGTCACAGGAGGCGTCACAGTGGCGGGGGGCGGGGGAGGTCACATATGGGTCGGGGACCCTCGCAGGGGTGGCTTTGTATAGCCCCTTCCCCATAGGCGCAGGAGCCGGGGGGGGGGGGGGGGGGGGGCAGTGGGGGCAGCTTGTCCCCTCCCCTCAACTCTGGGGCCGTGGGGGCGGTGCCCCCACAGCTTTGAGACGGAATACCACACTTTTTTGCAAATGTTTTCTTTTTTGTTGAAAAAGCCAAGGGATGAAAAATAAGTGGACTAAAACCGGAGAGAAAACTAGATTTGGGGGTACCCTAGGTTGATCTCTATTATGGTGTGCGCCCCCCCCCCCAGTCTGAACGCAGTTCCCGCGCCCCTGCCCTTCCCACATATACCCGTTTTAGAAGTTTAGACCATCATCGCTCGAGCTGTTTTAACCCTCGCCCGTATAGGGGGGGTCGAACGGACCCCCCCATGGTTTTTCGCGAATAACTCGCGTAAAAAGCGGCCGATCGTGACGAAACTTTCAGTACCCTCGCGTTCATCAATTTTACACCTACCCTGAAAATTTCATGACCCTGACCCAAATGACCTTTGACCTGTGACCTACTTTTCGAGACCATGTTTGGCCGGAATCGCGATTCGGCGTATGTCGGCTCGCATTAGCCGCGCGTTTGCAGTCTTTTCGTGGTTTCAAGCGTTCAAACATGTGATATGATGTTGCCCCCATGCATTAGGGTGGGTGTCAAGGTCACCTGAAGGTCAGGTCAGGTCATTGACCTTTGATGACCTCGGTTCACTTTTTCGAGTTTTACATGTTTCTAGGCCAGTTTTTAGAGCTGAATTCGAATTAAGCAACCGTATGAACATTTACGAAGTAGTTTTGGTGCCTTCGTAACATGTTACGAAGCTGTCAGAGGCGGTTGCCACCTACTACGAACACCCTTACTGGTTGACCTGACCTGACCTGACCCGACCCGGCCTAAATGCATGAAGACATGATCTGTGATCAAAACTAACATGATATTCGTGATCAGAACCCCGAAAAACCCCATAGCAGCCACACTTTACGACGTTCTAACAGGTCCCGATTTTCCCGACTTTTGGGTCATTGACCTGACCTGCAAGGTCAACCAATGACCTAGGACCTTAAAATTAGGTATCATCGGCTTCCTCTCGTCACGGGCAACACGCTCGTTTTTTCCGCGAAGCTCTAGCTCGATCAGGGGCGAAACGGCAAGGGGGGGGGGGTCCAACGGACCCCCCCCCCCCTTATACGTTCGCGGCTGGAAAAACACCAATACGGGCGAGGGTTAATTTAGCCCCACAACTTTAGGGCCGCATTTTTAGGGCCACACCTCCACGAGATTTTGAATTTTGCATTTAGGGCATCACAAAAGAAAACTTTACGGCGATAAAGGACTTTATTCAAAGCGTCGTTTCCATGACAACCAAGCTCCTGGATGGAGCCCCGCGACACGATTACTTTGTAGGGCCTTGGTTTGTAGCGGCACGGGGGCAGACGCGTCCGAATCCTGTCCGCTTTTTCATTAACCCGCGTCCTGCTCGGGGACGGGGGGGGGGAGGGGTTGAACATCCCCTGCGGTTTTCCGCGATCCACTGATATGCAACATGACGTCACATGCAGGGGCCCGGGAACTACTTTCAGACTGGGGGGGGGGGGCACACCATAATAGAGATCAACCTGGGGTACCCCCAAATCTAGTTTTCTCACCGGTTTTAGGCCACTTATTTTTCATCCCTTGGCTTTTTCAACAAAAAAGAAAACATTTGCAAAAAAGTGCGGTTTTCCGTCTCAAAGTTGTGGGGGCACCGCCCCCACGGCCCCAGAGTTGGGGGGGGGGGGCAAGCTGCCCCCACTGCCCCCCCCCCCCCCGTTCCCGCGCCTATGGTCACATGTGACGTCATTTAAACTTTTTATTCAAAGGATAGTATATTCGTAACATCCAGAGGAGCCTGCGAAGAAAGTCAAATAATTGCGGCCGAGTCAAGGGAAGTTCTTTGCATGAAGGCAATGCTGCCATAGCTTGTTGCGCTAAAAGAGGTTTTCAAAGATTTACTTGACATGTGGCAGGCTGCCATCGATTTTAAAATGGAGTTTCGTCAGAGTGTTAGAAATTGTTAGAAATTATAATGATGGCCCAAAAAAATTTAGGGCATCACTTCCGATGAGGCTCTAAATTTGTCAGTGCACTTATTACATCAAAAAGCTTTGAAAAAAATACGTCATCAATTTTTGATGACGTAAATTAAAATCTTTGAATTTTCTGGTTTAGAGCCGCCAAATGTGGCGTTAAATGGGGAAAACCAAAGCATGTCTCTTGCGTTATGAAGGATACCTGTCATGCGGTGGGGGGGGGGGGGTAATTATACCAAGTGATAATCACAGGGAGTGTCAATTTTGGCCCAACCGGTTGGCGTGGAGTGTCCTGATGGTATTTGCCCTCAAAGCGGGTGGAAATAGCTTCCATGTTGGCACCCACTGTGTCCATCTCTCGGTGTTTATATGCCTGCTCTCAGACATCGACGAGTGCGAGGAGGGCACAGCCAACTGCCAGCCGGCGGCCGAGTACTGCGCCAACACGGCCGGTGGCTTCACGTGTCAGCGCCGACAGGATGGCGTGCAGTGTGCCACCGGCTTCCGGCTCAACGCCACCTCCGGCGTCTGCGACGGTGGGAACACACACACACGCACGCACGCACGCACACCCCCCCCCCCCCCCACACACACACAGACCAGTGTGCTGGCACACACTGCCAACGACACACACTGCCACACTGCCAGTGATAACACTCTGCCACACTGCTAGTGCTAGAGACATACACTGTCAGCGACACACATTGCCACACTGCCAGTGACAACACACTGTCACACCGCCAGTGACAACACACTGCCACACTGCTAGAGACACACACTGCCAGTGACACACACACTGCCACACTGCCAGTGACAACACACTGTTAGCGACATACACTGCCACACTGCCAGTGAGAACACACTGCCACACTGCCAGTGACACACACTGTCAGTGACACACGTTACCACACTGCCAGTGACAACACACTGCCACACTGCCACACTGCCAGTGACACACACTGCCACACTGTCAGCGACACATACTCGATACTACCAGTTACACATACTGTCAGTGTTGGTGTCAGTGTCAGTGTCCATGTCCTGTCGGTGTGTGTCAATGTCAGTGTCAGTGTCTGTCAGTGTCAGTGTTGATGACATTGTCGGTGTCAGTGACAGTGTCTATCGGTGTCATTGCTGGTTTCGGTGTCAGTGTTTGCTCTGCCGACCGGCAGACATTGACGAGTGCGCCGACGGCGTGCACTCGTGCCGGCGCCCGCTGCACTGCGTCAACATCCGCGGCAGCTTCACGTGCACGCTGGCGGCCGCCGGGGACCGGTGCGCGGCCGGCAGCCGGCTGCTCGACGGACGCTGCGTCGACGTCGACGAGTGCCGCGAGGGCAGCCACCTCTGTGACCGGGCCACCGAGCGCTGCGTCAACGAGCGCGGCGGCTACCGGTGTGCGTCGGCGGCCGGCCCGGCGCCGGCCGCCGACTGCCCGCCGGGATTCCGGCGGTCGGCGCCGCTGGGCCGCTGCGTCGGTACGTACCGCGCCGCTCGGCCGCCGACGCCAACACCTTGTGCAGGCGTCAGTAGCGTGTGGGCGCTCCACTGACATTGGCGCTAGTTCAGAGCGTGCAGGCTCACACGAGCGCTGGCGCGCGACGAGTCGCGAATTTCATCCGACTGTTCGTCTGCTATCTCCACCTGCGCCCTGGGCAGATTGTAGCCGCACTGTGTGCATCAGGGCTGCGGAGTCGGAGTCGGAGTCGGAGTCGGAGTGGGAAGATTTGTCCGGAGTCGGAGTCCAAGCTGGAGTCGCTAAAATTTGACCGACTCCGACTCCGGAGTCGGAGTTAACGCTGCCTGGCTCATAGTCATGTCATTTACCTGGTTGCTTAACGATATTTCGCTTGTTGACCTTTCAAAATCAAATTTAGTTGAAGCTAAGGACATACCACTGTTTTGGACGAGCGTTTTCATTTAACAATGCTGAAGAAGGCTGCTGCGTCAAAACCTGTTTTTATTTCTGCCTGCTACTTAAAAAAGTACTTATCTGCAATAATCTGCCTTGAAACGCGTAAAGGGCCGCTTCAGGCAAGATAAAAGGGTGTCCGACATCATATTTGATTTCATTATATGGGCTTCACGAGCCATATTCGGAGACGAAGCTGGAATCGGAGTCGGAGCCGATTTTGTTAAGCCGGAGTAGGAGTCGCCTTAAAATTCATCCATGGTGTGCATAACGCATCTGTCGCTCTGGAAGCATTCGGAAGTGTAATTAATACCTGACCGTGGTCCCTCTCTCTCTCTCTCTCTCTCTCTCTCTCTCTCTCTCTCTCTCTCTCTCTCTCTCTCTCTCTCTCTCTCTCTCTCTCTCCTCTCTCTCTCTCTCTCTCTCTCTCTCTCTCTCTCTCTCTCTCTCTCTCTCTCTCTCTCTCTCTCTCTCTCTCTCTCTCTGTCTCTGTCTCTGTCTCTGTCTCTGTCTCTGTCTCTGTCTCTGTCTCTGTCTCTGTCTCTGTCTCTGTCTCTGTCTCTGTCTCTGTCTCTGTCTCTGTCTCTGTCTCTGTCTCTGTCTCTGTCTCTGTCTCTGTCTCTGTCTCTGTCTCTGTCTCTGTCTCGTCTCTGTTTCTGTCTCTCTGTTCTCTGTTTCTCTGTTTCTCTGTTTCTCTGTTTCTCTGTCTCTCTGTCTCTGTCTCTGTCTCTCTGTCTCTGTCTCTCTGTCTCTCTGTCTCTGTCTCTCTGTCTCTGTCTCTCTGTCTCTGTCTCTCTGTCTCTGTCTCTCTGTCTCTGTCTCTCTGTCTCTGTCTCTCTGTCTCTGTCTCTCTGTCTCTGTCTCTCTGTCTCTGTCTCTCTGTCTCTCTGTCTCTGTCTCTCTGTCTCTGTCTCTCTGTCTCTCTGTCTCTCTGTCTCTCTGTCTCTCTGTCTCTGTCTCTCTGTCTCTCTGTCTCTGTCTCTCTGTCTCTGTCTCTCTGTCTCTCTGTCTCTCTGTCTCTCTGTCTCTGTCTCTCTGTCTCTCTGTCTCTGTCTCTCTGTCTCTGTCTCTCTGTCTCTCTGTCTCTCTGTCTCTCTGTCTCTCTGTCTCTCTGTCTCTGTCTCTCTGTCTCTGTCTCTCTGTCTCTCTGTCTCTGTCTCTCTGTCTCTCTGTCTCTGTCTCTCTGTCTCTCTGTCTCTGTCTCTCTGTCTCTCTGTCTCTCTGTCTCTGTCTCTCTGTCTCTGTCTCTCTGTCTCTCTGTCTCTCTGTCTCTGTCTCTCTGTCTCTGTCTCTCTGTCTCTGTCTCTCTGTCTCTGTCTCTCTGTCTCTGTCTCTGTCTCTCTGTCTCTCTGTCTCTCTGTCTCTCTGTCTCTGTCTCTCTGTCTCTGTCTCTCTGTCTCTCTGTCTCTGTCTCTCTGTCTCTGTCTCTCTGTCTCTCTGTCTCTCTGTCTCTCTGTCTCTCTGTCTCTCTGTCTCTCTGTCTCTCTGTCTCTCTGTCTCTCTGTCTCTGTCTCTCTGTCTCTGTCTCTCTGTCTCTGTCTCTCTGTCTCTGTCTCTCTGTCTCTGTCTCTCTGTCTCTCTGTCTCTCTGTCTCTATCTCTCTGTCTCTGTCCGTCAGACGTGGACGAGTGCACGGAGCGGCCGGACGTCTGCGGGCCGCACGGACGCTGTACCAACACCCGCGGACACTTTACCTGCCAGTGCCAGCTCGGCTTCAAGAGCGACACGCAGAGCACGCGCTGCGTAGGTCAGTCCGGCACTGCCCCCCCCCCCGACCCGACCCGACCCGTAGGGGTAGCGCGCGCGGCGTCCGTCACTGTGCCCTCCCCATTAGCCCGGCACCGCCTGGGCTATTTCCGTACCCACGACAGCCTGGGGGGGGGGGTCGGATTCGACCCCCCCTGTTATCTCGAGAACCAATGGTCGTATCGAGCCCCGCGAGCCGGCGTTCGAAAGGTCTCTACTAGACCTTCCCAAAGCGCTCTTAAAATTTTAATATTGAGGTCATCTTTCGGGTCAAGGTCAGGTCAAAGGTCAAATTCTGGGGTTTTGCATGATTAGGCTTACAGACAGCGGAATCGATAGCTGCTGCTCGAAAGTCGAAACTCACCAAAAATGACCTCAAAGACCTAGTGAAGGTACCATGTGCGTAAATGGTCAGGTCATTAAGTACGGGTCAAGGTCAGGTCAGGTCACGAAAGGTCAGGGTTTTCACTTTCTGCTACATGGGCGTGCGACACATGTTTTATGGCTTATTTTTCTCGCCGAATCCGATGGTAATGTTTATATGTGACCCCAAGTCACTGTGCTGGTGATAAGTGTGCATTAAAGGCATAAAAATGGTTTATACCATACATAACTAAACGCGGGCCAAGAAAAAAGTCAATTTTTCAACTTTTTATTTTTGACATAAAAATGCACTTCTCTAGACGAACTTTGTCCCAGGAATCTAGTGGTGCCAATTGTTTTCACATGCTATGTTCAAAAGTGCCTCTAATTCACGAAAATGCTTATGACGTCGCCATGCGCTATGCATGTTGGAACTATTTTTTACAATTTGGGGGTCAAAAATCAAGATAGAAAGTTGAAATTTGGGACATCTAATGTTCTAATACAGCTCTATTACATATATTCCGGTGTTTTAGAAATTCTCAAATTTTCGGATTTTATTAACTGTTTTCCAAAAATATAGCATTTTGAATTTTAGGTGTGAAAACGCATTTTATGGAAAATCCGAGACAGTTTTTTTAAAGAACTCTTTGAGTTGCGTCCATTCATGTTCTTAATTTGCAATTTGCTCTAAACCTTGATTTTTGTCGATTTTTTTTTTTAAACATTTACCACTTTTTGACTTAAAACGCCATAAAGTTACATCACTAAAATCGATATATCTAAAAAAATTGGAAAAAGTTTCTTAAAAAATACACAGAAGACGTCAACTTGATAGGGAAGAAGGTATGCCAAGTTTCAAGTTGATAGCGTAAGCGGTTCATGAGTTATTCAAGAAAAATGGAGGGGCGGTCGGATCCGACCCCCCCCCCCCGGCGGTCGCGGGTTAGGAAGAGCGCGCGCCGCCTCCGTCAGTGTCCCCCCCCCACCCCGTGCAGTTCTCAGACGGTCGCTGATCTAGTCTCACAAGAGCATATTGAACAAATTGCAGAGCCAATAGGGCCCATTTAAATATTCTACTCATGTTTGGTATCGGGCAACTACATATATTAGTTAGTAGTCCACAGAAAAGCTATCTATCGACTAGTCTATCCGTCGACCTGGGCCCGGATGAGTGGTCTCAGCCAATTTCGACATTGTGTGTGTGTGTGGGGGGGGGGGGGTATTTGACCACACCCGATTATCTCGAAAACTAAGAAAAGCTAGGGGGAAGTTTGGAAAGACGCACTACATAGCTCGCTAAAAGGCCTTTTGCAGAATTATGTTCTGTGCTCCTCGAGTATGAACTGTGTCCGTGTCACCACTGTGTCACCACTGTGTCACCACTGTGTCATCACAGTGTCACCACAGTGTCACCACTGTACTGTAGGCGTTTGGGCCGGTCTAGCCTCTCACGTGGCAAAAAATTGCTTTTATGAAAACAAAAAGACATACCAATTGACTACGAAATGTCTTTACAGTTCAGGCATGACATTGATTTGGTCATGCAACATCTTGGTATAGGGTGAAATGGGCCTCAAATACGAAGTTTTTTTTTTGCCGTAGACAGGTCATAATTAACGGACGCCATTTAATTGCGTCCCAGAAAAGCTATTTCTGGCACCTAAAAGCTGACTCGCTCCAAAATTGGTCCTCAGCACCTATTTGGTGGATACCAGCACCAATCATGGAAAATGACCTTAATTAGCTGTTTCTGGCACCTATTCATCGGTACGCCTTACTCTTTTTTCTGAATCTGGCACCTAAATGCTGAGCGTAGCACCAATCTAGTAGAAAAATGAACTACTGGCTGGTAGAATCATGTTGTTCTGGTATAATGACCCCTGGAGTCTAGCCTAAAGGTTGCCAGTGCAGCTACACTCTAAGACAGCCCCGTAGTGATCTCAGCATTGTATATGACGTTTAAGTAAGCAAATAATATTGATTTGTTTGAAAAAACAATGTCATTTAAATATTTTAAAGTATTTATTTGTAATGCTTCAAGGGAAACATTTTTGTGAGTAATTGTCTCGATTTTGACCATTAAAACGGGTATTGTATTTTTGACGTCATCAAATAGCTCCAAAAAAGAAATGTGATGTTTTCATTCCGTTCAAGGCCGCTGAAGAAACGCGGGATCTTGCGTGGGACATTGTCCGTTGTTTGCCGCGCAGAGTTGTGCCGTGGTTGTGCCTTTTTCATCCGTTTCTTACTTATGTCATATGTGTGCATGAAGCTTCGATTTTGTTTTTGGTTATTGTGTGGCCGGTCAGTCAAACGCCCCTGTAGAAACCGGATGCTGCGTTTGATCGAGATGGAGTCAGACGATGATTGCAGAAAGCTAATAATATTGAAAAGAGTTGCGTGCATGGGCGCCGCCACCGGGGGGGACGGGGGGGACGCGTCCCCCCCACTCTCAGAATGGAAGGGGGACGTCCCCCCCAAACTCATTACGGAGCGAGCGAAGCGAGCGCAGTCTAACGGAAATTTCTGAGTATGCCGTGGTCACGCTTTTGCTAGGCTTATATCTCAGCAACCACTTGACCGATTTACATGCGGTAATTTTTGTAGGGTAGCACTACACCTTTTTAGGCGCAATTTCAAAAAGTTAAAGACCAAAGTCAAAAAGTTTACATTCAAAATGCACGTGAACGTTTTGAATTTGGTCTTTAACTTTTTGAAATTGCGCCTAAAATGCTGTAGATTCATTCCTTCTAACGAGCATCGGACTATTCCCGATGCATGTGAGTGACCCCATATGCACGTGCCACGTGAAAAACGAAGAGGTGTCAGTTTTGTAACAATTTCAATATCTCGGCAACTACTGGGCCGATTGCGCTGAAAGTTGGCATGTAGGTAGGTATACCCAGGCCCATGTCACTCCACTTTTGATGACATCATAAGGGGGTCTCAGGACAATTAATGGCGTGGTGCGCCACAATCGCTGCCAAGCTACTTGCCAACAGCTAGTGTTTTTGAAAATATTTTTTTTTTTTTAATTAAGTTTCAAATAATGAAAATATTGTAATAAAGTTGTAACTTAAATCTGTAACATATTTAAAAACTTACTGAAAAATGATTTATTCATAGTAAAAATATAAGCTCGATGCATTTTTACGTTGCTTTCCTGCTGCTGCAGAGGGTTCTTAAATCGTCTATATCTTCAAAACCGGCCATTTCTTAGCATATTGCTGCTCTTTTTTGTCGCTAGAAAATTAGTTGGGCTTTCTATTGACATCAACGGTTGAGCGGTATGTGGAGATTGCCATCAATAATCTTCAAATGAAATTAGTCATTTTTACGTTGCAAAGGAATGGAGTACCCCTTGCGAGCATCAGGGATGACGTCACTCAGGATCTGTCTCTGATTGGTCGGCGGGGGAGTGACTGTACCTTCTATAGATGGCCTTGGGTATACCCACTAGGCAATGCATATCCGTGTGCCACAGTTGGGGTGCTGCTGCACGTGCGCACATGCAGGGGTCGATTCCAGATCTCGAGAACGGCTGAACCGATTGTGCTGAAATCTGATACGTGGTTAGAGACCGGTTAGTAGGGTGCCGTGCAAAAGTCAGTTGGGACCCATTTTGCACGTGCGCATGTGCAGGGTGCCGCTTCCAGATCTCGAGAACGGCTAGGCCGATTGCGCTCAAATTTGGCACATCGTTAGGGACCAGTTAGAAGGGTGCAGTGCATAAGTTAGTTGGAGGTATCCCCTCGCAATTTCGCACGTGCAAGGCCCACCCCACCCTCTCGCTCGCTCCGTTGGTCGCCCCAAAAGGCGTTTTACTTATTGTTATCCTACTCGAAATTTGATTAGGCCCTTCGGTCAAATGAGACCATTTCAGAGCCGCAAGTATGAAAGAATTGGTGGGAGACATTGGTCGGGCAGCCACCCCAGTGAGCCACTTGGGATGAACCCGACCAATTGAACAGGCAGCCCAGCCCACTGGCACTCATTGCACCCGGCAAAGGACTATAGCTCCAGTGGAGCCATTCCCGCATGGGATAGAGTTGCCCGTCCAGCCCGGAGCAGGGGGTTGCGGCGTGGAGGAGAAGGATTTTACTGTCCTGAGGATAGAAGAGATAGAACGGTGCCGAATCTGAGAGGGTCCAGGAGGTTTACATACTCAGTATATGGGGTGTGGGCCTACATGCATTGGTCTGACCCCTGCCACCTCGGCCAACAAAATCTCCACCTCTTATTCGACCTGTCATCGCGGAACTGCCGATTTTTGATATCGTGATCAACGTGTGTCGTATAACACGACTGGCCGAACACGGGCCTAATATATTTCGTCTAACCAGCCAAGAGCATGACTTTACACCAATCCGACCTCGAAGTCAAATCCGAACATTTTCGAAGACTTCAACTCCGACTCTGGCCAAAACTGGCCAGTCGTGCCAAAAAAAGTGTGCAGTCAACTCCGACTGATTCCGGCTCCGACCCCACACTTCTGCAGTTACGCCACACTAAATTAAATTTCCAGCTTCTAAGAAACAAGCTAATGCTATAGGTACGGTTGACAGGACCACAAAACTTTGAGGCGACTTGACTACTTGACTTGGTTTTCCTGACCTAAGGTTTTCTGGTATCAAG